ATTAACTGAAAATTATTCCTGGATCAATTTTACCATAATGCGGGCTTATTTTTTAAAATTTTCTATTTTTGGAATGAAAAAATTAAAAAGTTAATTCCGGCCGGAAATTAGTAAACAAATTTGTAATGTAGGCCAAAATTTTGAAGATCCTCGGCCAAAATCGAGGATCTGCCGGTCCAATTTTGTTGCGGCAGCTATTGTTAATAAACGATTGGCGCTCTGTGCGTATTATAATTTTGCCTTTTATATATATAATTTTTTGCACACATTTTTTTAAAGTTTGCGCGCATATCATTCATATATAATACGCGCTTGCGCCAATAAAATTTTTTTGAATTATTGCGGCAGTCAAGGTTAAATGGATACCACTTTACTTTGTTTCTGTTCCCGTGTAACATCCAATCAAAAGACGTAGTAATACTTGCACTGCAGGAATGCAGAAATTGAAAACAGGTTCTCGAATCATCTTTAGATGTTTTGGAATTTTTTTTTATTTCGTCAAGCGCAAAAATAATTTAAGCGTTATGTGTCGGTATAGGTTAAACTATGATGATAATAATTTATCCGATCATATGATCATGAAATTTACTGACTAAAGACTGGTAAAATTTGTTAAATGCTATGACGCAATTATTATACCATGTGCTGCAATTCAGTAACCTTTTTAAATTTACGACTTAAAAGTTGTACCATTTGGTTAAATTCAAACATAAAAATAATGATGCTCAATTTGAAAATCCAATCTAACCATTTTTGTAAAATTCTCTAAAACAATGAGCGATGGCGATTTACAATAATGTAATCATCAACTGATTTTGATATTAAAGCTGTTTCCAAAATGATGTGGAAAACGATCTCCGAATAATTTGGAAATTCTGATTAGTAAAATTACAACTTTTTTCAAAAAGATTCGGAACAAAAATTAAAAACGGGCCTTGAAAACTCCGGAAATGTGAATTCACTACGATATGGTGATCTACATCTTTCTACAGCTTTTCTTGAAAACTCTGAAATCTGGAAAATATTGTGATTAGATATGGGCAAGGTAATGTAAAAGTTAAATCACACTACGTGACAATTTATTAATAATATATACTTACAACTAATAACATACTAAATTGTCACGTTGTGATTTTTTACGTAATAAGCAATTACCTTGCCCGTCTCTAATTGTGATCTGCATTTTTCACAATTTTTTTTAAAAATGGCTGTAAATTATGAAAAACGAAAAACGGAATTCATATATTTAAAAACGGATCAAAAGTTCGAGTGTTATTTACGCTTTGCAAAGAGGTGTGACCTTGTGGTTTTCGTATCAAATATCCTGTGATTTTCATGTTTTTTTTTACATGACATCATGGTTTGCAGAGAGCACACCTTTTTGAAAACAGCTACAATTGTCGAACCATTTTCGTAATGCAGAATAAAAGTAATGAAAGCCATCTATCTTTTTTTTTTTGTGAAATATAGACGAGAGAAGTATGGAAACCTTTAGTAAATCCTAATATGGATAAATAATACTGCTGCAGTTATAGGTAATCTGATACTGAATTAGTAAATTGTATAGCAGATAGTCAAAGTAAAAATAACCTTACTGAAATAGTAGTCATTTGATTCAAATACGTAGAAAGAAACATATTCTTGAAGATGCATGCCTGCATAAATTAAGTATTCGGCAATGCCAAGTTTATAATAAATTAACTGGATAACTTATTGTTATCTGTTATTAATTTCATAATAACAGAATTTTCTCTAGAACGAAATTAAAAGTTTGTAATTTCACAAAACATTCTATCTTGATGTTCGATAAAAGTTCGAGTTGGCGTCTTGTCACAATAGTCTTTATTATTCTGATAATAATAAATCATGGTAGAACAAGTGAAATTAAGTATGATTTAAAGAAATATGGAAACCTAGTTAATGCTCAACAATACGATGATGGAAAACTTTTAATAACTACCTCGAGTCCGGAAGACCCACGCGTGTTACATATTATTGATCAAAACGGACGTATAGTTCCTATAAATTATAAAGATGCTGTAAAGTTTAAAAATTCGAGCATCTCATCCGTTGATCATATAATTCCTTTGGCAACAAATTATTTACTTTTGATTTATTACGATCAAAACGATCCTAAAGATAATGTTACCGTGCGCGGTGCTATTATAGATTTTCAAGGCAACATGAAAACAGAGTAAAATTTTTTTTCTTTATTTATTTATTTTCAATTGAAGATATTTATAGTATTAAATTGGCTATTTGTACTATTGTAGCAATCTTGTGCTATTTGATCATTATGATAATTACAGCAATCATTCAAAATATCAGGTTTCGGATACATCAGACAGTTTTCTGGTCGTATCTAAAAGCTCTCATTATCTAACCTGGAAAAAATTTTCGTAAGTCATAAGACATGAAAATGTAATTCCTAAATTTGCTCTAAACATTAATTACTTACAAATTACTTTATTAGAAAAGTTAATGGTGAAGCTAACCAGATATCAAATGGGAATGTCATGTCACCAAGGAACGGATTCATTATCCATTCGTATAGTGTTTTTGCTACAGTCGACGGTCAACATGCAATTGTCTATAAAATCACAAAAAACACAAACCGTACTTTTTATGATCCTATATATGAAATTTATATTCATTTTATTAAAAAAGACGGCATGAATCAAGAATTAGAACAATTTTTACTCTATAAAACGTATGATAATTCGATACATCCTGTAGGACCTATCAACTGTCAAGCTGGTTTTTATTCATCCGCAATTCAAAGCAACATTTGCATTTTTTTTGATATAAAAATTTCTCCAAAACGATTAACAAGACAACTCATAAGATCCATAAAATTTTCATCATCTGGATCAGTAATTCGAGAGGATCTTCTTCCAGGTAGTAATTTTGCACAACCTATAAAATTTTCATCGTCTAAGCCAATAATTCGAGATGATTTTCATTTAGATAAAGATAGAGACCATGATTCTCACAAATTTGAAATACAATATATCATACCATTGCCGTATGGCGGAGAAATAATATTCGAAAATTCAACTACCTTAATTGATAATATTCATAATTATAGTTCTCTCAAAGTACATTCTAATTTTAAATTATTTGAAAAAAAATACGTTAAGTTGTTAAATTATGGTGTTTTTAATAATAACACCTTATGGTTTATCTATGGGAATAACACACATGATAATAAACTTATCACGATCGATGTAAACCGTACTTATAATGATTGTGAGTATTAAATTTTCATGTAATTATTGAAATAACGATAATTATTTACCATCCTTTTACTTTTATTTCATCATTTCATCAGTAGGCTATGAAAACATCGCAATCATATCTTCTTATCCAACATTGAACATGTCCATAAAGTTATCATTCAATGATCGTATTAATATCAATTTTGCTTTTCCTATTGTTCCATCATCAGGAAATATTTCTGTCTACCAAGTCATTAATTCAAATACTTCATTATTGCGTCAAACTTACTCTACTTCCTCTCGTTACTGTAAAGTGCAAAATATTTCAACTCTTTCTTGCCGAATCTTAAATAGCACATTTAACCGAATTGACAGCACATACATTATCACTGCTAGTGATGATTTCGTTAGATCATCATTATTTAATGAACCACTTCGTGGAATTAAAAAAGATATTTGGCGTGTGATGACACCAAAATGTAAGTATGACAGTTATTCATGTTCTATAGTTATGAGGCACGAAATAAAATTATCTGATTGATCGATTTTAAATATCAACTTCAATCAATCAGATCACATGCACAAATATGCCAAAGTATTTTAGTGTTTTTAATAATAGTAAAACGCGATATTACTTTGCTAATATTCGAAGCACCATGGTGCCATAATTATAACGTCGCTTCATGAACAATAACTATATTTTCAGCATTTATATTCATTTGATTTGGCGATGCCAACTGTTGTTTGTGTTTGAAATTTTAAAATTTTGTTCACGTCACGCGTATTATTCTAATCGACGCGTGAACTCACCGAATAAAATTTATAAAATGCAAATGTCGGATATAACATTTAAAAGTGCTGGATAATATTTTTATATTTTATAAAGATATCGTACACTTAATAATTCTATTACTTACTTTCAATTACATAACTATTGGTCTGTTATTATATCAAGCGAGTTACAATTTCGCTGGTAGATATAAACTTTACTATATATACTATATATGTGTATATTTGTCGACTGCTAACACTAATACTGTAATATTTATAGGTTCAACGGAGGCTGCATTAAATTTTAAATTAAGCCATGATCAATTTTCAAAGGTCATTCAGTCGCAGTTGCTTGATGATATAAAGTATAGTATTCCTTTAACGGATAATCGGCTAAATATAATCAATACTCAACCGAATCCTATAAATCCCGCAGAAACACGAATCATATTTTCAATTGATAAGGCAAAGGATTCTTTAAATGAGCCAGGCGTAGATAATATTATAAATGATTTAAATGACTTAATAAAGCATAAACATATAAGTGCTCTTTCTGATAAAAAATCCATAGGTTTTCTTGACTCTAAATATGGATTTCAAGTCAAACGTATGCAATTTCTGTATTATTAACGTAATGCTTCTTAATTAGTTTATTTATTAACACGCTTTTTTAAAAAAAATTACAGCGAGTTTTTGGCATGAGTATTGGCTCGAGTTGACGATCCTAGCAGTTGTTATATTTATAACATTTAGTATCTATTTAATTGCCAGAAAACGTCACCCAGAGGTAAATTGGATTTCTGTACCTTTTAATTCTTTTTTTTTATATTTTAATTTCTTGTTCTCTATTCACAGGGCCAAAACTATTTTGTGTTTAAAATAGTTTTGATAATTTTAGATTTGATTTTCGAGATACTTTTCATAATTAATGATGGTCATGATGTTCCATTTTTATTTATTCCTAGGTATATATATTGAAATTTTATATTAATTATTAGTCTTTAACTCTTTTTATATTATTACATTTTAACCTTTCATTATCATTATTACATCAACTAGCCTAGTTATCCTAGTTGCATCAATATTATTTAACACGATTTTTACTCTAATTGAAATTTTGAAAAATGGGGATTTTTACGAATGGCATAATAATTATGAAGCTATTGTTTCAATATTTACACTAATTGCATGTATTGATGTTGCAGCTCTATATGCTCTATCTTCAAATTTTGCTGGTCTTAAATTTTTTTCCGTTAAAATGTCAGAAAAAACCAATAAACAGATTAAATTTGGTACTTTTGTGAATTTGATTTTTGAGGATTGCTCTAACTTTGGTATTAAGGTAACTACTTTGAAATGCTTTATCTAAAATATATTAAATTTTGTTATTTATTAATAAATATCTTTTTTCTATATTTGATATAGATTATTTATATGACATTTATGACCGAATATACAATCATACCACTACTCTCACTAATAGCAGGTGGATTAATTCTTGTTATTGATTTTATTTCATTAGCACGTATCTGTTTCAAAAAAGATTATTTCATCTATAAGTGTACAGTATATAATAAATAAATGTTTTAGATCTGGTAAAGTTGATCAAAACTTGTCCGGAGCGGAGTGGAGGACTTTACTGTCCAGTCGCCCTTATATTAACGTTCAGACTGAGATGAAAATTTTACTATCCAGATTTACAGTACCCCTGTAAGATGATATAGGTATACTCCATAAAGTACATCAAATCACAATGCAATAACGATAATGAAATATATAGTAAAAAATTATATTGCTTAACGACCTATACTCTTTTCTGAAATGAAAGAGCAGACCGAGCCAATAGCGATGTCAATAATGAAAAAAAAAACGCTAGTGATTATCTATAATAGGTTTTAGTATAGTAATTATAATTTTAAAAAAAAATTTTAAAAAAAATAAGTTTGCTAAATATACCGCAGGTTTTAGATATTATAGTTTAAAAAATGGCTAAATAGGTAGTAAATGTTTAAGATTTAAAGAATTTTTATATCGTACTTCTAATGATAACAGCTAAAAAAAACCCGAGTATCTGCCAAGAATTAGATACAGGTAATACAAAACGAAAAATCAAAACTTTGTGACACAATATATTTATAGAAAAAAAAGTTAAAAATTAATCTAGTTAACTTACAAGTATTAATTTACTCTTATAAGCATTAGAGCTAAACCTTATAAGCGTTAAGATTTCATATTAGAATAGGTCAAATTTCAGTGTAGACTAAGGGCGTTCTCAAGCATAGCGATAGGTCAAAAAATGTCAGGGACAGATCAATTGTGATTTTCATTATAATGGATACTTAAGTAATATTCGAAACTTTATTACGTACAGTAATTAAATTTTTTTTTATTAGTAAAAAATATCTTATCATTTCAATTTACAACCATTTTACAACAATCCATCTTTTTTATCCCTGGCTTGGCAAAATTTGCAATTAATCGAAGTAACTTGTTATGGGTCCTTGCCCTCTCAACGTCAACGAATTACTATTTTCATTTTAAATAAAAAATACAAGGAAACCCATTACAGATGCTTATCATCTCTTAATTTACTCATATGACAACTAATTCAACTATTCCATATAAATTTCTTCATTTAGTACATATTATTGTTAATTTATAACGATGAAATTGATAAATAAAGAATAATAAGATCTTTATTTTTATTAATTAAATTGAATAAACATCGTTACGATCACTAGTTAGATGGTTCATTGTGTCATTATTTGTATATTCAAGTTATCAACAAAAATTTTATATAATTATAGCTGAACACTATTGCGACACATTGCCATTTTTTTCGAGATTTGCAAATTTTAGACTTTTCATCATATTAGCAGTTTTAATAACGATGAAATGTGTGCCAGATTTATGGCACAGATTTAATGATAAAATTTTTGTAGCAGTGATCAGGGCTATTAGTGGTAACTTACCGTGGTAAGTTACCAGTAAGTTACCATGAAATTTTAGTGGTAAGTTACCAATTCTGTTCAAAAAGTTCGGGTCTGTAACGGAAGTGTAGAACATAAAATACAGAATAAACTACGTATCGGTGTTTACTTTAATTTTAACCTAATGAGAGATTTAGAATTAATAACTTCGCACAATGATATTGTTTAACCCACTGCATGGGATATTAGAGATAAATCACCATTTATTGGCATAGATTCAAGTGGACTTAAGATGAGTTATACAGGTAATATGAAAATGAGTAATCTCGCTAAAACATATTTAATGGTTTACTGTAATCATTGACATTTAAAGAATATCGTCATAACTTATTTAATTTATTTAAACCCTTTAATTAAAGATCCTGATGACTATAAAGCTGCCATCGTTCGAGCAAATCATCCAATCCCTTCAGAATGTGGGATATTTTACTTGAAATTAAGATTATAAACAAAGGAAAAAATGGGTAATATTAATAATAATTTTCGTATCATAAATATAATTTTTTGTTCTTTTTTTTTTATAATCTTTTTACTTCTATTTTCTTAATAGAATGATCGGAATTGGATACTGTACAAAACAAAGTGATGAAAATATAGATGATCTAGGATATATAAAAAATATGCTCATGCCTGGTAATATCATATCCTTTAGGACAGGAATATAAGAAAAATATGAAAAAATAAAAAATGCGAGGAAAATGGTGGTTACCATGATGACGATGGATATCCTTTTTGCTTAGGAAGTGGTAGGTCATATACTACCGGTGATGTAGTTGGGTGCTATCTAATTTTAGAAATAAGATAATATTTTATACTAAAAATGGAATTAACCAACATTTTAAAAACTGAGGTTTATGTTTTTTAACGTAAATAGATAAAAATTCAATAATAAACCATCTACATAGCGATTTCAAAGGCATTTTATATCCTTGTGTTGGATTTAAATCGCAAAGCGGGTTAGCAGAAGTGAACTTCGGCAGAGATAAATTTAAATATTTTGGTAATTTTATTCGAAGAGTTTAATCGTTTTTAGCTTATTTAAGATTTAATCTTGTCTATAATATTTCAATTGGCGACAATGACTGATGAAAACATTAGTATAAAACCAAATAATAATGCATTGGCATTGGAATATCAATCACGCCAAATAACATAATAGCATTAAGATATCGAGGAGAAATTAATTATATGATGAAAAGATATTCTGAATCAGTTTCTGACTTGAAGAAATTATTAAAAATTAAACCAAATGACATATGGGCAAAGAAGGCTTATGGATTAGTTAATGTGTTGTGAGTACAATATGTTTTTGTAAACTTTAGCGGCTTAAAAAAGTTTCGAAGGTAACTTGATCACCACTTATGTAACCATAGCTTGTAAGTACAGTAACCGCAACAAATAACTTACAGATCACGATAATCCGTACAGTAAAACTTCTGACATAATTATTCCGAAAGAATAAATATCTGATTTTTGAGTGTATTCCTTTGTATACAATACTTCTGGTGCAATATAGGGAAGCACGCCAAAAAGTGCTTTAGAATTACACTGGCTTACATAAGTCAAAATCAATAATCTAAAAACTATACATACGTATTTTGATTAACTATATTTCCGGAATGTAATCTTTATGCATTAATTTGGCTTTATAAATTATTTAAGCCCGTCAGCTATATAATATAAGTTAGCTATTTTTCGGAGACTTCCCTGCCTCGCATACTTTAAGACCATCATGTAGTTACCATCTTTCGGGTTCATAGTTATTCCATAAATCGCAATTGTGTTGATTTTCAACCTAAAATATTTAGGACAAATGAAATTACTATATACACTTTAATACAGTAATCGTAAATTAAGATTCGTACGTACAGTACTTCTTCTAAAAATCCACGTTTTATATTTTTAGAATTATCAAAATATTTTAAACAAACATCTGTTCAAAACCTTCTTATCCAATCATACTTTTGCTGATCAAATCTAGGGTTGTTAAATGGAGTACTCCAAGCTATAATAAAACATATAAACCACTCCAGTTTTAAACTGGAATGGTTTATATGTTTTATTATAGCTTGGAGTACTCCATTAACAACCCTAATCAAATCCTATAATATAAAAAGCAGTGCCAAAACTTCCTTTAGCAAGATACTTTATATTTGCGAATTTACTAAAGGGTATCCATTCAATAATTGCTTTAAAATTCTTTGCAGTTGTACACGTTGAATTAATTGATCAATGTCATGATTATCGCTTGTCCAATTACGAAAATTTTTAATAGAATGTTGAAAAATAATAAATATAATAGTTATAATTTAAATTAAAATTTATAAAATTTAATAAATAACTATAATGGTAAATGACCTGAAGTACTATGGCTTTTTGACAAGTTTATTTCAACCGATCTATAACAACCCTAGTATTGTCCAGAAAAAATGAACTGGCTTATTTTTGCTGGTATACGTGTACTTTCGAATACTGATCTCTGTGAATGTTAATTCACTGAAAATAAAATTTGCTTTCTTTTTATGCTTTTTGTGCTTTTTTTTTTTTTTTTATTTTTTTAGCGGGAGCACTAGAGTATCGTCTTTCATCAAAAGAATTTGGGGTTTCTTCTTTCATCAGAAGAGTTTGGGGTTTCTTCTTTCATCAGAAGAATTTGGGGTTTCGACTTTCGTCAGAGGTTTCGTCTTTCGTCATCATGCGAAAAAGGTTTCGTAAACCCAAATCTCAAAATTAGGCTTAATCCGGGCAATCCAAAATTTTTGGCCCAAACCGATCTTACGGTTCGAATTGGATGATAATTCAAATCTGTAGGACCCGGATTATTCGGAACACTAACGCTAATTTGATAATTCATTGCATGTCTATGGAGTAGGGCCACGGAAAATTTTGTCAAATTTATCAGCAAAAATTTGGAAATTTTTGGATTTTGGCCGGCATTACGAAATTAACTTTATAATTTAAGCCATGTCACATGATTAATGATGATCCATGCAAAAGGACACGTAAAATTTGGAAATTTTTCAGCAAAATCAAAAAAGTCACATGAAAAGAATATTATTGGACGAGACCAACAATAAAAATAAATTTTATACTGGACCTAATTAATTATCTGGCGTAGAATATAATTTTTTCTGTTTATAAATGAGAGCAGAAAAAATTTAAGTGAAAATCTCATCGAATGATCAATATTTTAGATTTTAAATAGAATTGAATTGAAATTCTTGTTTAAACTAGTTTGATAGGTCAAAATAACTTATAGAAGGCTCGAAATTTATTGAAATTTTACATAAATCAATCGAAATTTATCGAAATTTTTACGTGTCCCTGGATCCGTGTTCCTGTTCTGTAGACCTGGTGCCTTGATCGGCTCATAGTGCTG